CCATCTGACAAAGAGCTAATATCCAGCATCCACAAGGAACTTAAACAAACTTACAAGAAAAAAAGAAATATCCCCATCAAAAAGTGGACAAAGGATATGAACAGATAGTTATCAAAAGAAGACATTTATGGAGCCAACAAATGTATGAAAAAAAGCTTATCATCACTGGTCATTACAGAATGCAAATCAAAACTACAATGAGATACCATCTCATGCCAGTTAGAATGGTGATCCTTAGTAAGTCAGAAAACAACCGATGTTGGTGATAATGTTGAGAAACAAACCCTTTTATACTGTTGGTAGGAATGTAAATTAGTTCAATCATTGTGGAAGACAGTGTGGTGATTCCTCAAGGATCTAGAACTAGAAATTCAATTTGACTCAGAAATCCCATTACTGGGTATACGCCCAAGGGATTATAAACCTTTCTACTCTAATGACACATGCACATGTGTGTTTATTGTGGCACCGTTCACAATAGTAAAGACTTGGAACCAATCCAAATGCCCATCAATGATGGACTGGATAAAGAAAATGTGGCACATATACACCATGGAATACTATGTGGCCATAAAAAAGGATGAATTCATGTCTTTTACAGGAACATGGATGAAGCTGGAAATCGTCATTCTCAGCAAACTAACACAGGAACAGAAAACCAAACACCACAAGTTCACACTCATAAATACGAGCTGAACAATGAGAACACATGGACACAGGGAGGGGTACATCACACACTGGGGCATGTCAGGGGATGGGAGGCCAGAAAAGGGAGAGCATTAGGACAAATACCTAATGCATGAGGTGCTTAAAACCTCGATGACAGGTTCATAGGTGCAGCAAACTACCATGGCACATGTATACCTATGTAACAAACCTGCATGTTCTGCACATGTATCCTAGAACTTAAAGTAAAACAAAAGAAAATTTCAAAAATATAAACTTTATCAATCACTTGATTATAACAACATTATTTCAGAGATCCTCCACCAAACAAGAAAACCTTTCCTATAATTTAATTTATTTAGCTATTAAATGATAGGCTGGGCCTAATCAATATCAAATTAAATAAGTTAAATTTGCAGGATGACTGCGTATGGTGGGCATTTAGTTCCTACATAAGAGAATTCATTTTTACAAAGCTACAGAAGAAAAAAAACTCCATTTATCAATTTACACATTCTTGTTTGCCTTACCTGGGATTCATATTTAAAATAAAAAGTTTTTGGCCAGGAACGGTGGCTCATGCCTGTAATCTCAACACTTTGGGAGACCAAAGTGGGCGGATCACCTGCTGTCTCTTATACACATCTAGATGTGTATAAGAGACAGCTCATGACACTGCGGAATTTTGGGATGGGGAAGAGGAGCATTGAAGATCGTGTTCAAGAGGAAGCCCGCTGCCTTGTGGAGGAGTTGAGAAAAACCAAGGGTGGGTGAACCTACTCCGTATCACTGACCTTACTGGACTGCTCTCCCCTCTACTGACATTCTTGGAAACATTTCAGGGGTGGCCAGATCTTTTATTATGAGTCCTGGTTGTTAGCTCCTTTCAAGCGGGGTTTGAGGCTGAGAGTCAAGGGAATTTGCACATATTTGTGCTGTGTGTGTACAGGTATGATTGTGCATACACTGTGAGTATAAAAGGTTCATTTAATCCTATGTTCTCCTGAACTTTGCTTCTTTGTTTTCAAATAAGAAATCCTGAATATAGGTTTTGAGTTCATTTTTTGAAAGAGTTAAAGAGCAGTGTTTTTCCATTACCTATTCCAGAACAATTCAACAGAGAATACTTGGCAAGTGGATGTGGTGGGAATGACCCTATCACACCCCTAGGGATCATGAACCAAACGGCATGTGCTTTCATTTAATTGAACTGTGTTTATATGGTCAGCCTCACTGACTAGATTTTAATTATTAGTAGTAACTCTGTAATCTGTTCTCCCTAAGTATAATTTGGCTGTGTTTCAGCTTTGCTTATCTTTTTCCCACCATATTTACGAAATTTTGGCTTGGAAATGTATGGTAATTTTTTTTTCCACTGCCATCTCTACTCATCTATGAAGTTTTACAATGTATCTGTTTATCAGCCTTGATACCAAATTTCTTTGTTTTTAAATTCTGTTTTCCAAATGAAGTGAAAGACTGAAAATCAGATTTATCTGTGAATCACACAACAAACTAACAGATTTCCAGCTGTTCGATGCCTGGCCATTCAGAGTACTATTGAATAAAGTCACTATTTAGGGCCCATAGATGTGAATTTGGGAGCTCTTTAAATATAAAGTTTAATATCTCAAAATGATAAGAGCTATTTATGACAAACCCATAGCCAATATCATTTTGAATGGGCAAAAGCTGGAAGCATTCCCTTTGAAAACCAGCACAAGACAAGGATGCCCTCTCTCGCCACTCCTATTCAACATAGTATTGGAAGTTCTGAACAGAGCAATCAGACAAGAGGGTATTCAAATGGGAAGAGAAGAAGTCATATTGTCTCTGTTTGCAGGTGACATGATTGTATATTTAGAAACCCTATCATATCAGCCCCAAAATTCTTTAAGCTGATAAGCAACTTCAGCAAAGTCTCAGGATACAAAATCAATGTGCAAAAATCACAAGCATTTCTATACACCAATAATAGAGAGCCAAATCATGAGTGAACTCACATTCACAATTGCTACAAAGAGAATGAAATGCCTAGGAATACAATTTACAAGGGATGTGAAGGACCTCTTCAAGGAGAACTACAAACCACGGCTCAAGGAAATAAAGAGATGATGCAAATGCAAAAAAATTCTATGCTCATGAATAGGAAGAATTAATATTGTGAAAATGGCCATACTGCCTGAAGTAATTCATAGATTCAATGATATACCTATCAAGTTATCATTGATTTTCTTCACAGAACTAGAAAAGACTACTTTTAATTTCATATGAAGCCAAAAAAGAGCCTGTATAGCCAAGACAATTGTAAGCAAAAAGAACAAAGCTGGAGGCATCATTCTACCTGACTTCAAACAATACTACAAGGCTACAG